GTGGTCGGATATTTCCGTATCCGACCGTATCCGATCGTTTATGGCACGATACAAAACGACCGTAATACGGTGCATACCAAATGGCCGTAAATTATGGTCAAACGGCCGTGCACGACACAAGCTGATCGACCTGGGACCGCTTGTCAGGATTCCAGCGAAAAAATTATTAGAAAAAGGACGTCCCCTCGGGATTTATCAGGACATTACGATGTATGCTCTATAACAGAATAAATAAATCACTGGTTTAACCATTGATCTTCGATCATAAGATTGATGAGAACTCGAAAATGCTTGACTTATAATTATCGGAAAGTGTTGCTAGAAGAAGAAGAAGATTTTTCATTTCTTTTGAAGAGAATATAATGATTAATTTTCACATTTCTTCATTTTAATTAACATGAGCGTAAAGAGTTCTTTCTACAGTTGCATTGACATTAGTTTAATGGGCACTTTGAAGTTGTAGAAACATGCTTAGAAATTAATGTTCTTTTTTTGTTGCTGTTCTTTGTATAATCTAGTCAGATATTTACAATGCATTATTTGTTAGTCCTCATAATTCATTATGAGCTAAGGAATAAATGTATTATTATATTGAGGAACCTTAATCATACAAATAAAAATATCCTAGTATGGCTAAAATTGTAGTTTGTATTAATTTGTTCGTCTATCAAGTACAACTCAATGTTCGGAATTGAAAAATATCTACTTGATTTAATTCTCAAATAGAACCTTTATTTACCATTAAACATTTCTTTTAGATATATTTTCAATGAAATACAAATATCCGATGATACTTAACAGGTAAATTCTTTTCTATTTTACTTGAATTTTTAAACAAATATATTTCTCTTGTAAAATTTATTTTCTCAGAATTTAAAATGAATTAGAAATACAAATAATTTCTATTTTGAAAAATATCTACTGGAACTAAATTATTCGACAGGGATATTCTGAGATTGATATCAATTGAAATAACAATAAAATGTGATAAGTCAAAATGGGAAACACTTAGAGGAAGTGAATTCTTCAATAAGAAGGAATTTCCAATAATAACAGAACAAGTGTTTTTAGACTTTTCGCGAATTCTATCATCAGATAATAAGAGACACTTGAATTTAATTTGTCTATTGATAACTACATACACTGTAAAAATAAATCTGCAGGATAATAAACGGAAAAAACGTTTTTGATGGGGTATTTAACAAAAAAAAGGGTTTATGAAGGTGCAACGTATCATAAACCCTTTTTTCCTTATATGACGAAGATAATAAACGGCTTTTAGGTTTATGATTTGGAAAAAGGATTTATCAGATATTTTAAAAGCGAAAAAATGGGTATGTGTCACGTTGCACTTTCATAAACCCTTTTGTGAAACACGATCTGAAAGGAGTGCTGAAGTATATAGGGTAGAAATTTGGACTCATCCCCCGGCCCCCGTGTAACGCCTTGATGAAGATCAGAGATGCAACTAATAAAAATGCCAGATGCCACAATATTGGTCATGGCAGAATGACAGCAATGGAAATTAAATAGTATTGAGTATTGAATGAAGATCCAATAGTTTATTCAATGAACAGAAATAGTTGAGAAGAAGAAGAACTCCACCCACAAGTAGCTGATGCGAGTTGGATTGATTGTAAGGGACAATCGAGTTAGATTGATTGTAAGTAACAATCAAGTAGAAAGAAAGGTAATATGTAATTAATCAAAAAGATGATTCTTTTTGATTAAGAAGAAAAATAGTAGTTAGAGAAGATGCGCTCGAATGATGAGCGAAAGACATCGAAAAAATGAGTGTAGGTATATCTCAGTGAAGAGAGATACATGAAGAAGCTTGAAGAGAAAAAGGAAGAATAAGAATAATGAATTAACAATATTAGGCGCAAAACCAAACAAGAGAAAAGAGAGGGAAGCTAGAAAAAGAAACAAACAGGCGCTAATATAACATCAATGACGCTTATACTGTCACCCCTCCATCCCACAGGCCAGGACAGAGAAATTAATTAATTAGCTAATTGGTTAATTAATTAATTAATTAGCCAATTTCTGTCACGGTCTGTGATGATCTCTATTGGCTCCATAGATCAAAATAGATACCTTGATCGAAAGGCTGCATATATGATTACAGACAGTGGTAGACAGGTTCCAGCAAAGGAGTTTCATCGTGTTTCGCATTTTTATCCCACAGGGGTTGCACTAACAGCTTTTTTTTTACAGTGTAATAGTATATATATATATATATATATATATATATGTATAGTATTAGCATATTGATTTCACAGGTTCGTATTAAAAAAAAATTCAATTAATAATTTATCTGTAGATATGTACATTTATTTTGACATAATCATATATACGGAATAGGATCGTATTTCATCGTTGGAAAAATAAACAAAAACAAAAAATTACTCTACCTGAGAAATGTTTTCATAGCAAAATGACTTGCACAATGTACAAACGTATCACCGTCTTCATTTAATACTAAATTGGGATCAATATGACGTCGAATATCGGAATGAGAATGATAAATTTGTAAAATTTGTACTTCATCACCACGTATCATAGATCGCTTTAATATTGATTTACTTGAACCCATAGTTTTGGAAAACAAAAAGAAGCTCAATCTGATCACTCGGAAGTACGAAAGTAAATAATAAATTATTACAATAATATGAGATGGAAAACAGGCACTAAAAAGAAAATAAGATGACAAACAGAATATAACGTCAAAAGTGAAGGATTGGCTAGTTTTTTTCTCTAGATTTTCTAGAAGAGGTCGCTACAAGATATTACAGACGAGACATTTTAATGAGTCACTTGTTGAATTACTATCATTAATTGTTTATTGCTTTATTTTTTGAAACAAATGTCAACAACATCATCTCTTTTACTTCTTGACGAGGAGCGTAAAGCTCAATTGGATTTATTAAATAAAATCGATGAATCTGGTGAGAGTATTTTTTCATAAATTTCTCTCTTCAGTTTAATTTAATGTTTCAACAAAAAAATTTTATTTTAATTAGATAAATGCTGAATAAAAATTTTCAAAGTTGAAATTGTTTTAATTCTCGATTTTCCTATGATTATCATTCAATGAATTTCAGCTTATTTGATTGACATGGACGTTTTTGATCGTGAAAATAACTAAATAGATTTTTTTAACATTTATTTGTGTGAGGTCTTAAAATGGCAAAATGCATCGACATGTTAGTAGAAGGATTTCATCATGGAATTATTAGCGAAACATGATCCATTTTAATTTCTTTTCCAATGATAGAATATCTTAAAAAACATTATGACACTAAAATATGTATTTATTTATTAGCTGCCATTGAAATTTGTAATGCTGCGTCCGGGTATTTATTCACAGGACTCAATGCAAAATCAATTACTAATGCAGCAAGTCAGTTCTTTCCAAGTATATTCTTCCTAAAAATAATTTTTCTCTAATTCTTTTAGATCATCTTCAATTAGACATTGAAATTGTTCGAACAACAATCGATAGTCTTTTATGGTTATATACAGAATGTGCTAAGTCAAAAGTAAATATTTAAATCTTTCATTTCTTTTTCGTATTTTCTTACTTAGATTGCAACAGATGCTCTTGATGAATCATTAAAATTACTCGGTTACAGTACACCTATTCGACAAAGTTTTATTGAATGTTATCAATCAAAAGCTCATCAATTATATACAACACTTGCTAATGATCTTGCACTTTCATTACCACATTATGAAAATTTACATTGGCGTTTTGATGTACAAGTATGTTTTCGATAGAACTCATTAAAATTATGTTTCTTTTTTTTTCTATTTGATAAAATAATATAGATAGCAACAAGAAATATGCGCCATCGAAAGCAATTCGATCCTTTTTTTATTGTTAAATTAATATTAATTAATGGTTCTAACAAAAAAGAACAAGTTCATGTCCTTCAAGTTGATCCATTGACACTTGTACACATTGTTCAACAACTTGAATTGGCAATGAATGAATCAAGAAATAATCATGCTCGCAGAATTATGCATACATTCCGATAAGAACTGATTCATTTTCATGTGCCTGTGCTCATGATAATAGTGCAATAGGCTTTTTATTATTACTATTTTTTACATGTAATTTTTATGCTTTGTAACATCCATAATTAATAGAAAGTAAATTACGTAGGGTGATTATTTAAAATTCTTTACATACCATCATAAATATATTCATATTAATGCAAATTTACCTGTCTACAGAATTCTAAACATTATCTCATCAGTTTTTCTTGTTAATTACTGCAGGAGTCAAAAGGATAAGCTTGAAAACTTATGCTCAAGTATACTTCAACACGTCTAAGTTAAATATCAGCTACGTTATTAAGCACGTGAAAAAATGATGGTAAATATGACTTTTAATGAACGCTGAATGAGTACGTATGATGCACGTAACTACGATCATGCATTTTAGTCATTTCTTCATTACTCAGATGCAATTTAAGTATTTACTTTTATTTTAGTTACGTACTCAAGTTTTTCATGCTGATTTTATATTAGCATTGAAAGTGAAATCTACACAAAAACTTAGTATCTAAATTATTTAATTATTCTTTGATGTTTATGAAAATATGATTGACTAGAGACTACCGATGAAATATCTGTAGATTATTTTTGTTAAAAATTAAAATTTTATTTCATACAAAAAGTTATTGTTTAATAAGATTTACTAGACAATCAATAAATTCATTTCATAAAGAAATATTTTGAACAATGAAAATCTTTACTTCATCTCGTATGCTTCAACTTTTTTGCAAGTGGCAGAGAATTTGCAAAAACATGTTAATTTAGAATTATATCATCCAGGTAACATAGTATAAACTTGTTATTTCAATTTGAATAGTATATCCAATAATCAAAGAATCCATAATTCTCTTTTTCTATCTGTAATCACGTCTTTTCTGATATAAATAATAAATCACATATTTCAAGAAGGATATGAGACTTGGTCATGTATGGACTTATCTTAGTTCGCACTAGACCATTTTATTTGACAATAAAAAATTATATTCATTTCCAAATACAAAATCTATAATTTATATTATAGTCTAAATATTTAAATCCAAGCAAAGATAATCTTGATCATATATAAGCAACGCATGTCTGTATAAAATATTTACAGAAGTTTTCAAATTTTTTTTCTTCAATATAAAACCTAATATTTTTATGATTATTTATACACAAAATTCATCTAGTTTTACATATATATCTTCTTGAAGAATAAACTCGATTCATTTCATTTATTTATCAAAATGAATACCACGAGTAAATTACCTGAATTCTTAATCATATATATTCGTCCACACTTCATTTTTTTCGATATGTTTTTGATCAGCTCAATATTTCTTGGTTGTATATTTTGTATGTCATTTCTATACATATCAGTTGGTTATCGCTCTTGTCATTCAGTTTTAACGTTGCTGTCAGCTAATTCATGTGTAGCTGGTCTTATTTTTAATTGTGTACCATTAAGTAATGCTCTATTATTATTTCGTGATGATATATATCTTTCAACATCAAACCAAAATCAATATTGTGAAATTCGGAATTATCTTATGCATATATCTGGTAGTCTACTTTATTATTCATATTGTATTTAATCAATATCACGTTTATGTTTTGTGGTCTTTTACAAACATTCTTTTCTCTTAAGTTATCATATTCATTTTATTCTTATTGCAATAAAATGGACTCTTGGTTTCTTATTACCAATATCAATACTTACATCTAGTCATTGACAATATCCAACCGAAATAAGTCAATGTTTTATTACGATTAAAAATATTTCACAAACATTATATGGTATGAGCTACAACGAATCCTTTTCCTTTCAAATAATATGCTGTTTGATTCTAGGCATGATTTCAATGTTTCTTTTACCAATTACAATAATCTCAATATACTACACACATATTGTTTGTTTTGTAAGAGCTGCTGTAAAACGTGCTAGAAAAACAAACGCATTACCTGTTCGAAGATTCAATCTGAAACGTGATTAAGATTAAATTGTCTTGTTAAATTAATAGATAACAATACGATATTTTTTTTCTTTTAAATAAGGTGAGATTCAAATTGAACATCGGTTTTCAAATACAAAGGATATCAAAGTATTTCGACATATAATTATATTGATCACTGTGTTATGCATTGGTAAGAAAAATTAAAAACAAAACTAACATCAAAAAGTTACTTTTTTTTACAGGTGGTTTTCCTTACTCAATGTTGATGATATTCAATGTTCAAAGTATTGCACCGTTTTCTATGTATCGTTTATGCATAACAGTATTCGCATTAAGTGTAACAGTTGATATGGGTGCAATATTTTTTTTAACAAAAATGTTCGTACAATATTCTTTAACTGTTTCAAAGACGAACAAATCGAGTTGCTTCAATTAATCGTGGTTAACATCTAGATAAATGCGGAAGCATCGGATTTGCATCCGATTGTTATGTGTACTTCAAAAAGCGAAAATGCACATCCATTTTTTTCCTGTAAGGCATAGATCTCATCAAGAGACATCCCTTCTCACTAAATTACAAGGAGAAAATACAGGCATGCTAAGTTAGCATGGGCCACACTGTATGCAACTCGATCCAGTGATCACTGACTCTACTCTCAGCGTGATATAATATCTTTAGAGATCACAGAAATTGAGCTCAGATTCGTGTTCAGCTTCGAAAACTGGATAAGAACAGTTATTTTTGAATGGNCAATTTTTTCGATAACTCAACCATTTCTTGACGGATCCTTCTCATCTTCGAACTCGACTGAGACATTGATGAGGCTGAACTGTGTAGAAAATTTCATCATGATCTAACTCTCCTTTCGAAAATTATCGTGTAAAAGGACGGACGGCCGGATGGATACACTGACCGATTCTAGAGTGTACTCACTTTTTGAGTACACAAAAAAGGGCATACATCTCTTCATATAGCTATATATATATACAAAAGAACAAACAAACAAACAAAAACAAAAAATGAAAAAAAGCGAAATAAATACATAAATAAACTGTTCATGAGATCCATTGGCAAATTTTTTCCCAACTTTCTCTGTCATGCATATAACCACCATGAGAAAGGTTTGGTGCCCAATAAAAATCAATGTTATGATCATTTAAATAATCTTTAACTAAATTAACATTAACAATACAATCATTTCCAGATAAAAGAACATGTGTTGGTAGAATTTTATTGAAATTTGATGGTATTTGTTCAATAAATAAATTATTTTGTGTCCACCAGAAATGACGACTTATCACATGAGATATACCTAATTCACGACAAACAAAATAATATAAATAGAGATGACCTAATCTGTATGGAGTGCGATAAACGAAATTGTAAACAACATAAGGTTCAAATAATACAAAACAGATTGGATCAAGAAAAATTAAACGTGATATATACTGTGGACATTTTTTAACGATCCATGATAAACAAGCAGTACCGTAGCTAAAAAAAGGCAAGATAAAGAAAGTGTTTAACTAAAAAATGAAAATGATACACTAACCTATGTCCAATAAAAATAGCTTTCTTCAGTTGATAATAATTAAATATAACATGAATCGATTCAATAGTTTCCGACATAGTTGGAATGTCGTCAAGAGATGGATAACGCATACAAATGCATGGCATTGATATAAATATAATACGGCGTCGATCAGAAAATTGTTTTTGAATTCGTGAAATAAAAGGTTGATACATGATAAGACCAGCACCAATACCATGAAAAAATATAATCGGATCTTCCTCTTCTTCTACATTACATATTTCATCGTGATAGGTCCAAAATGAAAGGTGACCTAGACGAACAAATTGATATCCTCTCAAATAGAAAATACTTGAGCAAAGAATTCCATTCAAAAATGTATCAGTAAAAATATAAAAAGCCAATGGACGAAAAATAACACGGACAGGATCAAGAATATGCTTCATATGCGAAACTGTGTTGGTAGTTTCATCATCAGTTATTTTTAATCTATAATCGGTTTCAATTTTTTCAACAAGTGAATAAATTTCTTCATATTCTTCGTCATTTAATTCGTGTAATTGCTTTGAATAGAACGCAAATGCAAACCATCCAATCAAACTTTGACGATCAATATCTTGAAAAGGACAATCCATAAACCATTTGCTTATCGTGTGTGGAAGACTTTTTACAGTTGACAGTACATGTGAGACTATTCGATTACGTTCAATAGATGGTACATCAGGTGCAGAAACCTTCTGTTGAATTTTTGAATATAAATATGATTGATATGTAAGAAAAATAACTTCCATTGTTGACCATATTGTGATAACTATATACAAATATGATGACGATATTGGAATAATAGATATATTCAAAAATAAGACTTGAATTAACCAAACAATTGAAAACGGAATGGGTAATGATATAAAACTAATCAGTAGAAAAGAACATAAAGCAAGAAAACGACTAGACTGATAGATTTTGCATAAACCACTGATTAAAGATCGATCAACGAAACGAATTTCTCCTGTCATTAAAATTGAATTGTTCGTTTTATCTAAAAACAAAAAGAAAGGTTTTATGGCGATGTTAAGTTTGACCTCAATGAGTTTCGATTTAAGATATAGTACACACACTTTACACGTGTTCTGTATAGAATTAATCACTGATTTGTAGCCAGTATATAAAAAGTACGCATTTTATTAGATTAGTCATCGCTTCATATGAATCATATATACTGTGAGCACCGAACGAAAAGGCAAAATTTTGCTACGATAATTTTTTTTCTAATTGATAATAAGATAAATATTTATTAAGATATAAAATAGCTTGTTTACATATTGTTTACTGTATACTTGTTTACAATATTAGGAAAAAAAGATTTAACATTTAATTATTACATTTTAAAATCTTGTAAATTAGTAATTTTTATTACAACAGTTCTTAATCAATAGATATTAATTTGATGATTGATTTTCATTAGTATTCGCTTGTTTATATAATTATGTTGGATTGTTTGACATTATATATTGTAAATTAATTGATATTAAACACATGAATTGATATCTAATGCTGGCGATCGCCGATAATCAAGCATCCATTGTTTGAATGTAAGAAAATTCGTCAATGTTAGTAAAAATTCAAAGATTTCTTCTTCAACTTCATTCTGATGAGCTTCTAACTGTTTCATAAATTGATCAAGATTAAAATCAGATTGTGAATGCTTGATTTTATTTGTAATAAAATTTTCAAATATAATCAAATATTCTTTATGAATGTCAGTATAGATTAATTTGTTTTCATCTAATTCCGGATCAAATTCGTGAGCATATTTCATTAAAAATCTTTTTTGAATTGAGCGAAATTCTTCATCCATTATCATATCTTCTATAAGGCCAATTGTACGATCAAATTTTTCTACTTCTGGATCTTGACTTTTATGAGAAGCAAATGTTTCATCAATATTTTCGTTTGTATTAAAATTTAAATTACGAGTAATTCCTGCCATAATCTATAACAAAAGAAGTCTTTTTTTTCATAGAAATTTTACTTGTGTAGAAAAAATTCTATTGATCAAAAGTTATTTAGAATAGATCTGGTAAAAATAGAACTTACGTTATATTTTAATATAGAAGCATACATTTGTTTTTCTATCTGATGAAGTTCTTTGGAGAATGTGTTGCGTTTGGATGATAAGTTATTTATGTCATTATTTTTTATAGGATGTTCTAATTTCATTTATGATAATAATCTTTATCGAGTTAATAAAATGTAATAAACTATTCATGTTAGAAATTTTGATGAATATAGATCAAATTTTTATATAAATTCAAGATTGAAACATTTCTATGCTATAGGTAAATTCTAATCGAATATTCATCATTTATTTGTTTTCTAGAGAATGAAAGTAACTGTGAGAGAAAGAGAGAGAGAGAATATTATCATGATATTGCTAACAAATGACGTAATTTCAACCACATGAATATATTCAAGCACAATATCAAAAGACTTTATTGGATGAGTCATTCATTTTTTTATTCATATATAGGTATATATCAGACACACGCACACCTGTGATGATCACACAAGAATAATTTGACCTAATATCATCACATAAACACACAAAAATTTCAGTTATTTCCTAGAGTCAATCGACACAATTTTTCTAAGTTAAAAAAACGCGAGACATATAGGTACACACACTCACAGAGTATAAGCTCTAAGCACTAAGTCAACTTTTGCCTTTTTTTTGTTTTCACATAAACATTTATGACCAAATAATAGTACCGAAATGTACAAAATATTTGATCTTTTATTGTACACATACAAGAGAAAAAAAAGGTAACAGAAGAAAAATAATAATAAACAATAACATCGAAATAGGATAGCAAACCAAAAGAAAAAACACCGTAAAATACGATATTTGACTATACCAGGAATATGTGTGATGATCTACTAGTTTGATTTATCTGACATTGAAAATAGAGAGCGAGAGAAAACATTTCACTATATATTTATCCGATATAAAAGAAAAAATATTAATAATTATTTGTTGTTTCAATAATTATTCAATTTTCTTTTTGATTTTTTATACGTTGAATTTCCAATGAATTATGTTGACAAATGTGATAGTGCTATTTGAACATAAGCACTTTTACAACAACTATGCTGTGCTATGGAAAACATATTACTTTGAGAAAATTTCTTTTGTACACTTTTTAGTTTTGTTGTATCTTGGCCAACAAGTAATTGTCCTAATTGTTCAATACCTTGATGTAGTTGTTCATAGGAATAGCCAGTATGATAAAGCATAAAGAGTTTTGGCCATAAATTTTCAATAACTAATGAAATGGAAGTTAAAGATGTTATACGTTTATACGCAAGTAAATAACGTGAAAGAAATGAAGCACATGCTGATAAGTAGGATGGAAGTAAGTGTGAAAATGAATGATCAGTAAATGTTAAATCAAGAAGATATTTTCCTAATGTATGTTCTATATCAGTTGCTTGAATTATTTTCGAACATCGACGAAGATAATTTAATGATAACGGACGACCAAGATCAAATGATAATGTTGATATTATGCGTCGTTCCATTTCTTTCATATCCTCTTTTGAATATGCATTATCGGACACATAAACAAAATCGTTCATACCAGGTATAGCCATTTCTTCATATTTACATGCTAATAGTAAAGCTGAAAGAAAAATCATATCGAAGTATATTATCAATGAGTATATCGCATTTTCATAGAGAACTAAAATGGACTTCACACAAAATAAAAGTTGCAGTTAAACAATAGAAACTCGATGACCTAAGTTTTCAGGTCTGTCTAACAATTTCTTCAACTCGCTGCATAATGTTAGATAAACCAGAAGAGATCGCAAAGTATAAAAGAAAAACTAAATTAGAAAAGCTACAGGCAACAATGACTAATCAATCGTGATGAATAGAATTTTAGCATGTGATTATATTCTATTTGATCAATTCAATTAATTATTAAACTAAACTTTTCTTGGATTCCGCAGCTTTCAATTTTGATGAGCTTTGCTCTGTAGTACTCGAAAATGTTATGATAGGCATTTTTGAAATATGCAGAGCTCAGTAAGATTAAATAAATTATCATAAGATAAAGATGTATAGGCCTTTCTCTCAAAATTATAAGCATTTTACTAGATTGATCACTTTTAAAAAGAAATTTATCAAAAATTGAAAGTAGATTTTCGATCTATTGTTCTTTTTTGATGGATTTAGATCTCGTAATCCTACTAACACTTTAAATATTACCATGAAAACCAATACTTCTTTCGCGATATAGGGATACTTCAAAGGATACTATCATGGAATCATAATTTTTGTTAACAAAAATCAGCTTCTCTTGAAGATCTATCATCTTGAGCAAGAAACATTTGGTTTGACTTTAATATTGAAACCGGTTTAAGCATCATGACTTCTATATGTATGCAAGAAAATGAAAATTAAGCTTCGATCTTCTAATTACTCGATAAATCACTTATTATAGGTGATGAGCTTAGTAAAATAATTATAACTCTGGATAAAAAGACTTTCCAGTAAAATAGAGAGATGAAGTTCTTTAGTATACGACATAGTATCCTCATTGATAAATTGTCAAGAACAGAAAATTTTACGCCAATGATTTTTCTCAAGGCGATTTGATAAAATAACACTCATGAAAGCATCTGTTTCAAATGTGTTTGTTGAACATTAAAGTTTTTTTCTTTCTTATTTGAATCATACCGGTGGATCCAATAAGTTGTAATTCATGTTTAGAAACATCAACTATTTGTAAATAACGATCAATAACATGAATTGCCATATGAAATGTATCCGAAAGAAGTTTAAAACGATCATGTACTTGATAAAGCCAATCAATAAGTATAGCTCGATTTTGAGGCGAAGCTGTACCTATAAAACAAAAGTTTATAATATTCATATAAAGTTCTTCTTTTTTCTAGATTGATTGACCTTCACGACGATGAAGTAAAAAATTCTGTCGAATAGGTGTGCGTTGTTCTAGTTCTTTCCAATATTTACAAATATCAACAACAAATTCCGAAGCCGTTGTTATATTATTTAGATCGCCACTATCACAATCGAACTCAGCTGGTAGTTCTGTTGAAAATTCCAAATAATCATCACAAATAAAGTCTTCTGTCTGACTAACAACACTTGTTGTTGTTGATGATGATGATGGTAGCGGAGGCGGTAATATACTGTTAGTTGATTGTGGTTCAAGAATTGTTCCTACATAATTTTGTTGTTGAATGACTTTCGACTTCGACATCATTGTTTTATTAGATAATGTCATGTTACTAACTTCGCCAAGAATTCCACGCATTGTTCCTTTTTTACCGTTCGGATTTATTGTTGGTTGTTGCGCTTTTGATATATGTTTAAATATGAGATTTTGTATTGTTGAATTTTCATCATTTTCATTATTTGATGATGCAGTATTGCTAGTTGAATTCGTGGTCTTCCCATGATATGGACGAATAAATGCTGAGTAATGGCTCATGATTAATGAAGATTAATTGCCTAGTAGATGAATGAGCCTACAAAATAGAATAGTGAATTTAGATGAACAAGTAGAACATATATTCGAGCGCGCACACAGAAATAAACACAAACACGATTTGCTAACTAAACGGACGATTATGAATAGGCTGGTCGTCAGAAAAATGATGGTGGTCGTGCAAATACAGGAGAATAAAGAACTCAAAAAGATGTGTAATTATTGGTTCAGAGAAAATACAGACACTAGCGACATTTAGTTTTCGTTCGAACGTAATGGACTATTGTATAGACGAAAAATGAAACGTATTCGGAAAGCAAAAATGATATTGGAATTAATTAATACTACGAATATCATTTAGCTAATCATAATAAAGAAAGATAAAATGTTAAAATAATGATTTAAGATTAGCTAATATGGAAAGAATAAAAAACTTGACTTGTACCATTTTCTATTACGAATACAAGATTTTTCATTGATATTGAACGAACTTTTCCAACTTTCATATACATGAACGTGTCAGAATGAAACTTCTTCCGTTTTATGTTTCCCATGAGTAATAAAGTAATTTTAAAAAATATGCTTTCACAACTAATTCTTTTTTATTACTTGGTGATTTATCTTTACATACATATTTGTTGATAAGGTTTTTGTCATCTTATCAACTTAAGTATACAAAAGATTTTTTTTTTGTAAAACCTAAAACGACATATGGGCTGTACAAATTCAATGAGAAAACAAGAAATACAAGTTGGACGATCGAAACATGATGAAAATAGATTTCAAAATTTATTTCATGCGACTAGTGAATTCGATCTATCGACGTCAGATTCTGAAAGTGAACATGAGATTCTATCAGTACAATTAATGAACAAGAACAATGTTAATCATAAAAATAAACTAATAGAAAAAATTGATAAAATTCCAACTGGATTGACGACAACGCATAACAATTTATCAACTGCAAGCAGTACGTTAATGGATAATCGACTTAGTCAAACACGTGTTTAAAACTTTACATTTAAGAATTATTTTGTTAAATTGTATTATTGTTTTGAACAGTGAGATTCAAGCAGGATATTTTAACATAATTTTTTTTAGAAATATTCTTTCTGTTTTATTAATATCCTATAAATATTTGAAAGAATAATAAAGATACACTGTACTTTTAGATGCTTCGGATGAAAAGATGGTTATAAGACTTCATTCGAGTAGATTTTTTTATCGAAATTTATGACCAGGATAGCAACTATCATTGTGTTCCGACTTGTGCTTGTAGCCAGTGGCGGAGCCAGGATTTTTGGCAAGGGGTGGGGGGGGGCCGAAGTCCCCGAAAAAAATTTTCGTGAATTGTTTGAGAATTTGAAAGCCATTTTGGATTTTTTTTGGGAATTTTGACAATTTTTCTGGGTTTGAAAGATTTTTGGAGAATTTTGAAATTTTATTGAAGATTTTTGGTTTTTTTGAAGGTTTTTCTGAAATTTTTGAAGATTTTCTGGATTTTTTGGGAGATTTTGAAATTTTTTTGAAGATTCTTGCGGGAGCTTTTGAGTTTCATAGCGGGCAACACTGTCTAAAACATGAAATTGCAAACATTACTACATAGTTATATAAAAAAATGCATTTTCTAAAATCTCGCTAGGGGGGGGGGGCTGG